CATTTCTTTCATCATAACATAAAAATTAGTAGGGTTTGAAACATCAACAACTAACATATTTTCTACTATATTCTGGTCATTATGAACTTCTATGTCGTTGGTTTTCAAAAAAAAATGTTGAAAAACTTGCTCAATGTGTCATTAGTTTGATCCTTAATTTATTTTTATTTTTTTTGATAAATAATCACTAAAATTTTTCAATGTTTTATGTTATTACGTTTTTTGTTGACCATGTTACTATTTTTTATTAAGTATGTTATTACTTTTTCAGTATTACTTTTTTGGATACTGAAGAATTGGAGGCTTCTTCCTCTGGCTATGAGTTTGAATGTTACTATTTTTATTTTTATTTTCAATTTTGTTCAATGTTCTATATTGTTATTTTTTTTTTGAGCATATTACTGTTTTTGTTAAACATGTTACTATTTTTGTTGAACATGTTACTATTGTTATTTTTTTAAATATTAATATTGAATGTTACTATATTTTTGTATTTAAATGATATTATTTTTTGTGTTTAAATAATATATATATATATATATATATATATATATATTTTATATTAGAATGTTACTATTTTTTTTTAATGTTTATATATATATATGAGATATATAGTTTTAAACTATGCATGTATAAGAGAGAAATTTTTTTAATATTAGTCAAACTCTTAAAATTTAAGAATTTTTAATTTTTAATTTTACTTCAATTCTAAAACGAAGGTATAGTCTGAAAAAATTGACAAAAAATAGACTTTATAATAAATAAATTTTTTTGGACTTAAGTCAAAACAAGTTCATTTAAGGGAACCGGCCTCTAAAATTTCCCAAAAAAAAAAAAAAAAAGATAACCCCTATCCCCCATATATTCTTCATTTGCGTTTTTTTTGTCATTATCAAACCCCAAGTGTTTAAAAAGCTTGGGCTAGTGTTTTCATCCGATATTATGTTAACTCATCAAGACATGTCATTGTGACATGAAGGAACAAGATAACATGGTGACGAGTTCCCAATGACTTCCAGAATGGTCCAAGCACAAAATTTTTAATGAGAACTAGTCAGGTTGCTAACCTCGATGGAAATTTCTGGTGCAGATAGCCTTTGATGCAATGTGCGACATGCTGATGAGCATCACGGATGACTCGTTACTTAAACAACTTGAGAAAGACTGCACTGCTGTTTCTGATGCCATGCTATCCCTTCCTGTCATGATTCCCGGCACCAGATACTACAAAGGCATCAAGGTGAGCTTTGCAACAGCCTGAGGTGTACACTACAGTTGAAATACTCGAGTCCTTGAGAAGGCTGAAAAATGGTTCTCTTACAGTACAAAGATGAACTGAGAACTTCAGCTTACCTTCAAAGTTAGAAGAGAGAGAGAAAAGGACAGAATAGTTATAAAAGAAAGAAAGAAAGAAAGAAGAGAAAATGAGAGATTATATATAGCAAAAGAGTATTTTTAGACATCTAACCACAGTATGTTTTTCTTAAACCATATATCATATTCTTCTAATCAAAACAAGTTGAGCAGGCTCGTAATAGGCTCATGCAAACATTTGGAGGTATGATTGCCTGTCGACGGAGTGGAAAGGAATCTCCTGAAGACTTCCTGCAGTCCATGTTACAGAGAGATTCATACCCAGACAATGAAAAGCTTGATGATTGGGAGATCATGGACAATCTATTAACATTGATCATTGCCGGGCAGACTACAACTGCAGCTGCAATGATGTGGAGTGTCAAGTTCTTGGACGAAAACAGAGCAGTGCAAGACAGGCTCAGGGTGCGAATTTACACGTAATTTTTTGCTAATGCTCGTATAAAACCTGGAGCTCAGTCTCTTCCATGCCAATCACTGCCATTAGTAAATCCCTTTGATGTTTAACTTCCATAACTCTTTAGATTTTTATATTAGTAATGCTTTGGGAAAAGCAGGTAACACTATGCATTGATAAGTAAAAACAATGTCAAAATTGAAATTTCCATGCTGCAATAACACTACGCAAATGAAAACACATCTTCCTCCTCCCCCTCCTCCTCTTCTTCTTCTTCTTCTCTCTCTCTCTCTCTCTCTCTCTCCCCCCCCCCCCCAAAAAAAAAAAAAACACAGTTCTTTTTCATTTTACCTTTTTTATTTTTTGGAAGAGGATCTGGCGAAGAGAGTTCAATTGCATTTCAATTCTGAAGCACAATATATACTCTTGCAGTGATGACTTATTATATGATGCCACAGGAAGAACAATTGTCAATAGCTCGAAACAAGCCAGATGGAGCCTTACTTACTCTTCAAGATCTTAACCGCATGGCCTTTGGATCAAAGGTTTGGTAGACAAGCCCAACTCTTTCTGTGTCGATATAGATTTTGCAAGCTGATACTATGGTGTTCAAAGACCACTTCCATACATTTTTCAGGTAGTCAAAGAGACACTAAGAATGTCAAATGTCTTGCTGTGGTTTCCTCGTGTTGCACTCGATGACTGCACAATTGAAGGCAAGTTTAACATTAATTTCATAAACAATTAAGAACAAAAAAAGGAGGATTATGCCTTTGCTATTTGCTGTTTCATCCTAATAAAATCTCTTGAAGCTTCTTGGGGATTCCAAGAGAGAATCTGCAATTGTTCGCCAACAATTGTTTCCCTTAAAATTGTGTTCGCTACGTTTAGTGGATACATGTGCTTCATATAGTCCATTGTTATGGCAGGTTATGAAATAAAGAAAGGATGGCATGTTAACATTGACGCAACTTGCATACACAATGATCCAGCATTGTACAAGGACCCTCTGCAGTTCAACCCTTCAAGATTTGATGTAATTAATAATTTTCCTACTCTGCTTAGGACCTTTCTCATACTCACAATAGATTGGTAATAACTAGTAGACATTTCTTTTTCTATTTGGTGGAAAAACGAAATAATGGGTCAATGTTTCATGTCTCCAGGAGATGCCAAAGCCATATAGTTACATACCTTTTGGATCAGGACCCAGGACATGCTTGGGGAACAATATGGCAAAAGTGACAATGCTGGTGTTCTTACACAGACTCACTGGTGGATACAAGTGAGTCCACATCTTTTATGACGTTTTCATTCTACCTTGATTTTCAGTAATTAGCAACACTTCTTTTACGCATAGGTGGACGGTTGATGATCTAGATCCAAGCCTAGAAAGGAAAGCACATATTCCCCGACTGAGAAGCGGATGTCCAATAACCTTGACGGCCTTAAAATATGGGAAAAATACAGAAACAAGTTGAGATCTTTTTTTCCATTTGATGTGTTAAAAGCAACTGCAAGCTTAGGGGGTTTCCTGAGTAATATGTGATTGAGTGTGGAAAAATGTTACATGTTGAATGCAGAAATAATTTGTTTCTAATGTGAACCGAAATATATGTTGGAAGCTCAAGGCGATAAACCATCTTTCAGTTTTTGTTCATTTTGACAAAACAATGTCAGGAAAGAACCTAAAAAGAACAACAATATCCCATGAAATTATGTACTATTGTGATGGTAATCTGGGTGAGCTATATATCGGAAGAAATTGATATTATCAGAGTAACTATGTAATCTAGCCTATTTCCTACAAGTGGCATTACATTATCTAACAAAAACTAATAATAGCAAATTTAGACAATGTAAAAGAAAGAAACATTAAGCTATTGGGTTAATCCGTCTACGCACTTATACTGTTCTTCTGCCACAGATCTACTCCCTTGTATCAAACAGAAGGTCAATGAACTACAGTTCCTGCAAACTCAATATGCAGGATTTTCTGCTGTCTAGTTTTCGGAGACCAAGAAAGAGATTTGCTACCACCCACTAAATAATGAGAAACATTATTTTTTGTGAGGGTAAACAAGTATATAAAGAATATAATATGAACATAATGAATAATGTGCCAAAGGGAATGCAGCCCATGAATTGAGAGGCAAAAGCAGTCGGTGAATGTACTGATGAGTAGACAGGGGAACTATCGAGACAGTATGCGCAATAAAAGGAAACTCTAAATCCTATGCCTGCCAATCGAGTGTCTACATAAAAATACAGGTCAAAGAAATATTTTACATTGGGATTGTTGTGTACACAAGTAACTACTACAAATATACACTAGTGAACTACCTAAATGTGTGCTTAGAAAATTAAGTATTTGAGGAGTGAAACCTTCCCAAATCCTTTTACTACTAATTTCATACTTTTTATATATAGCTAGATAAATGTATGCAAATAAAAAGGACTTGATCATAATTGCATAGCAATAACAAACATCTCTGGATAATGTAGCATCAAAGATTTCTCATTTCCCATAGCAATTGCATATGGCTTATGCACAGTTACTATGGGTTCTAAGTATGATTTTTGTATTTCCTTATATAGGTACCGAATACTAAGGTTTTAATATTTGTATTGTAAAGAGAATTTTTCTATGCAAAAGGTTGCAAGTACAATTACATAGAGATGTTTTTTTCTCCCCCCCAAAAAACTGATAGATTCCAACTCATGACCTCATATTTTCACCATTCCATTGAAACACATGGTCAAACTAACATAAATAAACTAATAATTTCCCTGCACAGCTTAAGGGATAATCATCAGCTCCAAAAACACAAATCAAGAAACTAATTACGTACTTTATGCGACAATCACTAATGAAGAATATAAAATTCAACGCAGACTTGTACCTTGGAGGAAGAAGTATTGGAAAAGGAGCTGAGACTGGACCTAACAGACTCCAAGAGGAATCTACTCTCCTCGAGTTTTGTATCAGCAGTTCCTATGCAAACAACTTGCAGAGAATTCTTCTCGTCATGATTTTCCATTCCTATGTTTGGTTAGCAGTTTCAAAAATTGATTAGTTTGAAATTTCACTGGTTTGTATAGAAATGCACAGTTCAGAATCTTCTATAGGATATTCTAAGAAATCTATTTCCTTCCAGCAGCATTACCTAACCTAACTAATAAGATCAACTTTAGACATTGTGAAAGAAAGAGAGATCAACATAACAAAAATTCATTCACCCGATAATCATTTTATTGATATTGTACACACCAAACAACTGATCTCGGCTCCAACCAAAAAAAAAATTTGATCTCAGTATAGACTTTAGTTCCAGTTAAAACAGCTGGAACAAAGTTGAACAAAACCTGGAAAAATGGAATGTATGTCTATCCATGAACGGCATTTCATAGAAATTGATTTGTACTGTTCGACAGTAGCAAGAAAATTTGAGTTTCACTTCATAGAAATTGATTTGTACTGCTGAACAGTGGTTGTTATAGCTTGTTCAACTGGCAGCCTCTCCAAACTAGATGCACCATAAAACCCATGAACTCCCTTGGTTCTCTTTAGTACAAATTCTGCCTCTTTAGGACCAGATATAGGACCTGTAAATTTAACAAAGGAGAATAGGAAAGTTAGGTTATCACAAAAAGGAAAGATAAAGATGACTCAGCCATGATGGTTCAATCATTTGGAGTTATGATACCAACAACTCGTCAGCAAGGTATAATACTCTACAAAAAACACTAGTTACGAAGGAGAAGGAAAAGATTTTAATCTTGAATTGTTTATGAATTAGTGACATTATTTGATGACAAGGTATGCAACATGTTCGGTAGGGTGGAGACCTTAGGTTGTTGGTTTCTTTTCACTGGAAGCTAAAAATTTCGTGCTGTGTCCTGTTTTATATTGCATAATTCAAGATGAAGTTTATTAGAGATTGTTGTTTCTAGGTGATATGAGGTTGACTAATTAGAGAAGGTAGGTGTTGAAGTGAAGAAATGTTTCTGAAGTTGAATGTGGGACATGCAAAAGGAAAAAGGCAACTTTGAGAAAAGATAATGAGTCTTCACTGGATAAAGCGAATGTTTAATGAGACGATCACAACATCAAGTGTCATACATAACTCAGACGAGGGCATTGTGATCGATGAGTAGAGCATCTAAGAGGCAAAGAACACAAAATAAAAAATTGAACAGCAGGCATTCTAAGCCAGGCAACAGCGCGGTGAAAATACTTGGCCATATGCAAGGATGAAGCCAGTGGCGTCCATCAAGAACAAAACAAAATAAAATTTCTAAAACTTAGAGGGCCATTTTAGCGTGTCCTAAGGTGATTTTACTGCTGGCAATGTGCACAACATATCCTGTAGGAAGCACAAGCTTCCTCTGATGACAGCTATTTTTCAGAAGTGTGGCATCATACATAGATTCAATTAATAAGTTATCCATAGCATTAATCTATCACTACAGCAAACCATTGTTCGTACTATACTTTTGATTCCAATACATCATGAGATGAGGACTGCACCACCAAATATGTTATCAAACAGCAAAATTTCACAAGTTACCTCCATGGCAGAGAATAATAGCATTAGGATTGATTCTATGTGCAGCATCTGCGATAGCTTGTACACGAACTACACTTTCCTCCATTGAGACAGCTGTTTTTGCACCAATTGAACCAGAAGTTGTGAGCCCCATATGGGCAACTATAACATCAGCACCAGCTTTAGCCATTTCAACAGCTTCATCTTTGTTGAACGCATAGGGGGTCGTCAATAGACCTATTTTATGTGCTTCTCTGATCATCTCTACCTCTGAGCTGAATACGAGGACAGATAACAGAACAGTTATAGTTCAATTGATTTAGAAGAAGTGTAACACAGATAACTATGATAAAAAATCACAAGCAATACATTACAACATTTCAAGACATACCCAAAACCCATTCCTGTCTCTTCCAGATTTTGCCTAAAATTACCATCAAAGAGCCCAACAGTTGGAAAGTTTTGCACCCCAGAGAATCCAATGGACTCCACCTGCTTCAGGAAGTAATCCATCCTGCGAAAAGGATCAGTTGCACAAACTCCAGCAAGAACCGGCACTTTTTTCACCACCTACACATATAAAGTAAACAGAAGAGAAGGAATATGATTAGGCAGGTGTTTCTGGATCCTACATTTGATTAAAACTAGTCACTAACATGCTTTCATAGATTGAAAACTGAAAATCATAAAATCAAAAAATTGCAGAATATCACAGGAGACAGACTCAAGATTAATGAGTAATGAAGAGTTGACAATTGCAAGTTTTGTCTTCTTCCCCTTTCTTACCAACTAACCGTTAGGAAGACCGCAACAATCGGCCCATCAACTTATATGTAATTATTTTTGCAAATTTTGCAGCATATTTGACCAAATCACAAAACAGAAATTTCCACCTAACTACTACCAGAACACTCATAAAAGGATGAAAGGATCCAAGCATCTGACAATTAAATAATAAAATAACCAGAGTTTTGATAAAACTCACACCAATAATCTAACACTAATGCACCCCAATCTTCCAGTTTTCATTACTAAGAGCTTTAGTAATCATGAAATTGATTAATTCAGCTTATGTTCACCAGCTTGGGTGTCCCTAATTTTATTTTTCTGGGTTGGATAGGATAACTAGCTGCTGTTATTTACTTTTTCCTTACTCTTCCAAACAACACAAGCCATCTATTGGTTTCTCAATGGCTTCCCCTTCCACTTGAAAGGTTTTAAAACCTGAAGTTCAAACTCAACTTCACTCATCTTTGAACCAGAATAATATATTATCACTGAAAGTCATTCCAGATAAGTTCATCAAAAACTACAAAAAATTTAAAACAAGCATGCAAGTTAACTTACAGGTAACACTTCATTAGCCATGTCCAATACTACTGCATTTGCATCAGCAAAGGGCAACAAACCAGCTAAGGAACCCCTTCCTGCCATCCGAAAGCGCCCTGAGTTGTATAAGACAATCAGATCCACACCACCAGCTTCCTCAAACTTTGCAGATATGCCCGTCCCTGCACCAGCCCCTATAATGGGTTTCCCCTCACTTATTTGATCCTTCAATTGCTGCAGTATCACTTGTGTTCTTTTTAAGGTTTCTGTTGCGAGAATGGTAAGTATGTTATGCTACAAGAAAATAGCAATACAAGTCCAACCTACAGCAGAAACATTTATTGAAGCATATGCCAGAGGTTTCCTATGCATGTGCTTTTGTCATGTGATTGAGGGGAGGGACAGGGCCATAGTGGTTGGTTTTAGATGCCCAGTTACCGCTCATAACTGCGGCAATAAATTAAGGGAAATTTATCTGTTTACCTTTTGCAACGTTACACTTGACATGAGATGAGGAAGATTAAGACAGTTGAAACTTGAAACTAATTCAAGTGCAATATCACATATATGTTTTTTTATAAAGATGACAGCATATTTAAGAAATTCATAATTTCCGAACAAAACTTGCTGATGGAAGAAGTTAAAAAACAAGGAGGAAAAAGAAAGCCAACCTGGTTTCGCATCAGGGAAGTCACTCAGGATGTAAGAGATGGCCCCATTACCAGAGTTTATCCTGGAAGCAGAATTATCTTCTTGAAGAGCTTGATTGGGTTGACAAATAGCTTGATTATTACTGGTGTCTTCACAACTCTTAAAAATCTCTAAGAAAGAGTCGACCAATGCATTGGCGAACTCAGTGTCATTAATATGATAAGGATACACTTTAACCTATCATACACGTCAATTTCATGTCTATGAGGAAAATGGAGCAGGAGAATAGTTGAAATATTGGCCATGAAACTAAAGATTGCAAAAAAAGGTGGAAACTGTAAAAACATCCTAGTTCATGAGTAATCATGGTACCTGCCGATCTTCAGTGATCTCAATAAGCTTCTGTAGTTCATCTAAAAGACTACCAGTAGCCTCAGGATCATAAAAGGGCTTTCCTGGTGCATCCAAAGCAGAAACACCTTTTTCTGGCAGGCAAACATGAATCTTTGATGATGAGTTGTTCAATTTGTCTGCTATAAAGCCAGCAATTTTCCTGTTTTCGTCTACTGTAGTCCGCATCAGTGAAACCTGCAAATCACGAGCACTGGTTAATCAATGTAACAGCCACAATCCAGAGACCAAGTTGTCAGGGTGGCAGAATTTAAATACTGTGGTACAGTGGTATAAAATTAGTCCCCCCCCCCTCAGGGCCCAAAAAAAAAACACCGAGTAATCCAGCAAAGATACGCACATCAGACCACTGTGGTTCTTGGTTAGATGATAAGATGACATGATTAATGAGATCCATCTTGTCAAGAAACTACTTTTAGAGTGAATTCAGATTCCTTTTTGTTCAAATAATCAAGAAAGAGATGCATACTGAACACTCTGGCCAGTGGTTTAGTAATTTATCACGTAAAATATGACAAATCAAACTATCATCTCATGAGGACATGACAATGGAGGCACTCTAAAAACATGAGATTGTACAGAAGTTGTATCATGCTAAGAGTCCATAATCAATATGGATATGTTCAAGGATTTAATAAGTCCGGGAAGAGCTATGCATAGGAAGAGACAAGCACATTCAGAAGTCCCAAACACCTGCTCATTGTGCTCATGAATCTTTCTTTGCTGAAATTTTGAAGGTATGGTAACTTTGGCACCAAAATTCACCATATCCAAGGCTCCCACACTCAGAACTAAAGGGATCTTCTTCTCTGTTATGGCATCAAAGCGGTTACCATCGCAGGCCATGACACCTCCAACTACGTGGTCTGCGACCTCTGTTGTAGTGATGTCCAAAACACCCTGAAAAAATAAAAAGAAACAAGGAGAGTATGAAGAATGAAGTATGAACCAAAGAAACCTTCCGGGGAAAAAACAGTATGAATCAAAGAAGGGCAGTCTATCATTCTTCTAGTTTTTCAAAAAGAAACAGAGAGACAGAACAGCCATACGGTACAAAATGTGATATCTATTGAGGCAATGGACAAGTCAACCAAATATGTCGAGCTTAGATGATGTAGTTTTTTACCAGCTTCCCTATCTTAAATGGATTTCTGTTTGAGACACCCCTTAAACTGGTCCAAAATTCCTATAAAAAAAGAAGGGTCCAAAACCAAGTAAACTTGGTCAAGTTTCTGGTCAACTCATTGTGGTCAGGCAAATGGCTGGGGGATTTAATGTCTTAGCAAAGAAGATGCCTCTACTGATGACAATCTGTATGTCTCTCTGCTAATTGAAGACCTTCAAGCTCCACAAAATGAACAGAAAATGTATGTATTTCAAACTCCTACAGGTAATTTCAAAAATAAACTTACGTGGGATCTAGCAATCAAATAGCTGCATCTACAATACAGTAGTGGTTTCAATTTTACCAAAAAAATTCGAGTTTGATAATTTGATTAGCAAGATAAGTTGATCATGTTGATTTCCACTTAGCTTTCCTAGAATATAGTATTGTAAGGCAACCACAGGATACATCCTCAAGTATCAGTTTCCCAGTCAACTGCCAAATGCATGAAGGTCTACAACTTGCAATAAGACATGTAACTCAATCTAGCTGGTGATTGATGAATGCAAATAATGATAGAAGTACCTGTATAAAACCTTCTCTAACAAGGTCCTCCATAGCCCTGCCCCCTACTCCAGTGGCATGAAAAACCAGGGTCTCAAATCCTTCTTCAATCAACCTTTCTTTGATGGCATTTACACATGGAGTTGTAACCCCGAACATTGTTAGACCAACTGTATACTTTTCATTATCACGTGGAGACTCTTTAGATATCTCAACCCTTCCAATCACCATTCCAGAAAAAGCAGCACTGGCATTAGAAAACACAACCCTACTCACTTTGTTAATGCCACAAATATCAACCAGGGATGGAAACAATATCAAATCCGACGTCCCAACATAAGGTTCAGTTTGACCGCTGGCCACAGTCGATACAATGAGCTTGGGTATTCCAATTGGAAGAGACCTGAAAGCTGATGATAATAAAGACGTTCCTCCACTGCCTCCCAGCCCAATAACTCCAGCAAGAACACCATCAGCATGAGCTTTCTTTAGAAAATTTTCTAGTGCTTTATTCATTATTGTAACGGCTCTGCCTCTATCATCAGGAAGCTTGATGGAAAATTGGCCCCCAAACATTGAATAGCAAGAGAGGACATCTTTTCTTGGCACAAATTTGAAATCCCCACAGCTCTCAATCTCCTTCGGACCGGCTGAAACATCAATAACCGTCACTTGCACCTGTACATATCACGAGTAGGTTGTTTATTACTCTGTTTGGTTCCCATTACTGGAGGGCGCAAGAAGATATGGACAAGGCATACACATAATATTATATCTATATCTATACTTATACTATCCTATATTTTCACAATTAAATATCTAAATAAGATTTTAGCATTTTGTATCCCAAAAGATATTTCGATTCCCACTTTACAATTCAAAAGATTATTTTTTCACTTTATATCCTAAATGTCATAAATTAATTCTAATGTAGTCTTCAGACTAACATTCGTTTCAAATTTCGTTAAAAATTGGTATACATGTCACCCACGAATAAGAATGGTAAATTTATATTTTTGTCCAATACCAACACTCACATGGTGAGTTTATATTTTTGTCTAAGAGCAACACATGTTGATGGCATATACATTAAATTTTAACAGAATTTAAAACGTATGTTAGTCCAAGAGGTACATTGAAATCCGTTTATAACACTCAGGGTATAATGTGAAAAAAAATAATCTTTCGGGATACAAAGTGAGAATCAAGACATTTTTCGAGGTATAAAGTACGAAAAACTTATCTAAATTATCATCATATCCTTATATATTTAAATCTCCAAATTATCTATAATATCTTTTTTTAATTATCTATTGTCTATATATAAATACAGTTTCTATAACACTTTTTGATTAATTATGTTATCCTTAAAAAAATGCATCAATATATATTCAATAAAGTGTTCAAAAAACTTTCAAAAACTTCATCTATCTAATATTATTCATCATCTCATATGAAAATATAACATTATGCGTATATTTTATTTTTTATCAAAAAGTTTAACTTTTTATTTCTAAGATAAAAAAATAATTATACATATAGTCTTTTAAAATCAATTTTTGTTATATCAGTATAATTATTTAGTCACAATAAACTTTTTAAGTTGTCATAAAATTTTATTGAAAAATAGATATTGTAGTATATTTTTAAATAAAACTTGAATTTTTTAGAATTTTATTTGTTTGATAATATGTATTATAGATTAGTATATTAAATTTTGTCTCAATTGACCTAACTAATTTCTAATTAGAGTAAGATTTCAATGTGATTAGTATATTGACAATTATTTTTATTTTATTATAAGTGAAATCTTAATCAAATGAATTTTAAAAAATTTAATTTCTCAAACATCACTAAAAAAAAATCAATCTCAAATATAGGACTTTAACTATTTCTTTTTTTTATTTTTTTTATAGTTAGAACATAATTTTATAATAGAATATGAGTAATAAAAAATTAAATTTAATAAATTTAAGATGATATTTAATTCAAATATACATATATTTAATATATTTTATTAATTTTTGTATACAAAAACGTGCAACCACGAGGTGCGTTGCCAGTATATTATAAAAATTGATATTCAATTCAATCATAAGACGAGTAGCTGAACATTTTGCATATAGAATTGCATCAACAGACATCTTCGAAATATACAGGCATGAGTACATGTCGACAATGCTTGAGAAGATTAAAAAAAAAATCTCAAATGCTGTGAAAAATTAACAGAAACTTGCTTTCGCATAAATCGAGGGCACTAATTTTGTAAAACGGATAGAACATGTGGTGAAACGAACTCAAATCTAATTAATAATTTCCCTGCGCAACTCAAGTTAATAATTAATCATCAGCTCAGAAAATAACCAAATAGGAAGGTAAATTAGGCAATTTATGTGAGAATCACAGAGGAAGAATATCAAATTCAATGCAGAAAAGATTTGCCTGGGAGGAAGAAGAATTGGAAAAGGAGCGGAGACGGGATCGAACGGACTCCGCAAGGAATCGGATCTCTTCGAGCTTTGTATCAGCCGTTCCTATGCAAAAAACTTGCAGAGAATTCTTCTTTTCTTCACTTCCCATCCTTTGTTTGGCTTGGAACAAGCTAGCTGTTCTTCTTCTTCTTCTTCTTCTTCTTCTTCTTGATCTTTGAGCTTGGAGATTTCAAATGAATTTGTAGATCCAGCGAATGGCACTAGTTCGGGGAAGTGGCGAAAACCACACTTGTTTGTAGGTGGGGAAGTTGACGTTCCACGCGAAATCTCTGTTCATGTTTTGAGAAGGATTAAAAAAAAAAGGGATAAACCACATAACCGGCCCCTAAACTTTAGTCTTTGTTTAAATTGCTCTCTCAACTTTTAATTTTTTTAATTTACCTCTGAACTATTTAATTCACTTTAATCAGTACCTTCAGTTAGATTTAGCTGTTAAGTGGGGATGAAACCCTAATGTGAATTGTAAATGCAAGTTGGTGGAGAGAATTTTTGATATTTTAGGTGTTATATACAGTGAACATCATCTTCTCTGATAGTCCATCACCTGAAATCGACATCGGCCACTAACCATCACTGACGAAGATTACTGCCAAGATTTTAAAAAAGTCACCATAAAATTTTGCAAAAAAAAAACTAAATCCATTGAAGAAATTCATGAGCCCAACATTATAAATCTATGAATCTAAATCCATGAAGAAATTCACTAAAGAAACTCATGGATTTGATGAATCCAAATTTATTGAAGAAATTCACTCTAAATAATAAAAGAACATTAACCCACAAAAAACTCTCAAACACCCAAGATTTCTCTCAAGATTCATCAACTACCTATTTAAAAAACAAAGACTCCTCTTCATCATGACGGGTATTCTCATTCACTCCACATTCTTCATCCTCCGACCATCTCTGTCCCAGCTAAGCCTTTCTGAACCCCATTCTTCAATACCAGATTTTTTCCAGTCATAAGTGATGAATCTGCATTGATGCAGATGAAGAGATGCATATAATCATTAGAGCTTAAGGGAAAATCGAGATAGAGTAAGCAAAAATCAATTGCTCGTTAGTAACGAGACAAGCATTCCAATGGTTCTCTCCAGTGGATAGTTTCGGTGTACACCGGCAAAAATGAGGATATACGATAGAGGTTCAGACATGAAAGAATGTTAGCATTTGGGTTTTATCCCAACATAAAATTTCAAAAATGCCCTCCACCAGCTGGCATTTTCAATTCACATTAGGGTTTTATCTCCACTTAACACCTAAATCTAACGAAAATTGTAAATTAAAATGAATTAAATAGTTCAGGGATAAATTAAAATTGCAGGGACAATGAAAAATAAAAATTAAAGTTTAGGAGTTATTTTTATAGTTTACCTAAACAATAAACTGACAATAAACAACGACAAAATACTCTATTTGTTATTTAAAATTTAAATAAAGATTCTAATTCATGGTACTACACTGGTGTTACTAGATTAGCACAACCCTTTTGATTGAAATGCTCGTGTTACTTTTTTTTTTTTTTAAGGTTTGAGTTACTGTAATTTGTGGTCACAAAAACAAAACCCAATTAAAATTATATATATGATTTGATAATTTCAATTGGTTCGATATTGGTGCTTGAAAATAAAAAATGCGTTCCATATTTATTATTTTTTTATTCTTTTCATGTTCTTATATCATGTTATTATTCTTTGTTTGTTATTGAATAATAGGGGTGGGGGCAAGGGAGAGCGCTCAAAGACTACTCCAATAGGCCTTCATTGGTGGGATCATGAGGCTCTTGATCCCATTCATTGCATCTCTCAAGAACGAACCTAGTTAGGATAGCATAGCGATCAACCATCACGTCTCAATATGAACTTTAAAACTTAAACCTCTAACCTCATGATAAAAAATTCTACCAATACCCTACTGAACTACCCACTTAGTGGTGTAGGCGCCTTTGTTTGCTTTGTTCTTTTACGTTTCTAAAGAGAAGAATAAGTGTACGGGTATTTTAGACAAATGAGTGGAAAATGGACTTAAAATCAAATAGATTTTTCAGATGAACTTATTTTCAAGAAAATTTTAAAGAGTGGACAGACTTCTAAATGTTTTTTTTAAAAATGAACTAGTTATTGCATGTACTTGAAAGACATATAGTAATAAAAAATGGTAAACAATAAATATATTTGTATTTATATCTAAAATTAAATCACAAAAATAGAGAAGAAATAAAGGAATCTAAGTATCGGTTTGTAGTGGGGGTGAGAGATGGTGAGCGACAATGGTGGTGGTAGAAGACGGTGATGGTTGTGGTGGGTGACAATGACTATTGTGGTTGTGGCAGCGGTGATAGTGGTGGTGGTCGGGGCAGTGGTTGTGGCGATGGTAATGACGGTGGCAGTGGGGGCAATGGTGGTGGTGGTGGCGGCAGCAGCAGCGGCAGTGGCGGTGGTGGTGGAGGTGGTAGAGGTAATGGTGAAACGGTTTTAAATACTATTTTTAAAAAAAAAGTATTTATGAGAAATAATTTATAGAAGTACTTTTAAAAAGTCACTACAAACACACCCTTATGAGTCTATTTTTTCTATTAAATTTAAGGTGTTAATATTAGTCATTAAATTAACTTTGAAATAAAATTTAAAGCGATCTTAACCGCGAATAACAAAAGTCATTTTGTTTATCTTTTAAAATTTGAATTCTAACCTACTTTATTATATAGATAGCATTTTGTTAGGTTTGAATATATTTCATAAATAATGCATTATCAAACTTTTGACGATCTCCTAACAACAAAATAACGATTGGAAGAATTTGTTGCAAGCAATCAAAGTGTAGGAGAGTAGTGATAATATATAATTGAGGGATCCAGTTATTACTTGGAAACATTAGGGAAAGTGAATGCAACTTACCTAAGAAAAAAGTCTACCAACTCCCACCAAATGAAGATAGAATTTAAGTTTACCACCAAATAAAAAAAAATTAAGGATTAATTATACTTGAAGTCCCCAAAATATGAAGTTTGTCTCATTTGGTCTCTAATATTTTAATTACATTATTTTAGTTCCTAAAGTGTTGAATATCTATATATAATAAAGTAGCTAGATGATTTGTCTTTAGCTTTTTGCAGCTTAAATCGATTGAGAATTATTGATCCGATAACCTTAATTGGACTTTTATTCTTTTTACAATTCTAAGATTTCTATCTCTCGTATAACTCTATTTTCTTTTCTATCTTATACATCAAACTCTCATACGTATATAACTCTCTATCAAATATTTTAAACGCACTCTGTGATCTCTCATATAATTCTCTCTATTTTATATCTCTTTTAGACACACGTTTTCCCATCTCTCACTCCCTCTTTCTCTCTTTCTCTGTCTCTTAATATTGTTTATTTTGACGATCCTAATTGAACTTCTTTACTCAAAAAAATTTAAAATCAAGCTAAACATCAATAAATAAATAAAAAATAAGTGATACCAATTGCACCAAAATAAAAAAAATTAGAACCAAACTAATCATTAATAAAAAAAATAAGTGATACCAATTGCATACAAAAAACATAGTCAATCTAATCACAAATAAAAAAATAATAAGTGATACCAATTGTACAAAAAAAACTAAAAAATTCAAAATCAAACTAATTACCAATAAAAAATAAGTGAAACCAATTGCAAAAAAAAAATAAATAAATAAAACCAACTATAACATTTTTTTTTCCTTATTTGCATTATTTTCCCCTTGCTAATGTTCATATTTATTTGAATACTTGAATAGTGCAAAATAAATACCGAATTAAATCATTTTTTTTTTTGAAGTGGTGAAATTTTGATTTTATTGATTTGATTTATATGTAGCGTGAGAGTATTTCTGTATAATCCGAGAAGTCACAGCAGCAGAAAATTTAAATCAATTGTTCTCACAGCTATAAGCAGATCCGCTGAACAATGTTAGTTCATTTGTGATTTTTTCTATTTTTTGAAAATTTGATTTGTAGTTTAATGTGCTTAATTCGTTTGATTGAATTTAGTGATTTAATTGTGTGTTCTTAATGATATTCCTTATTAAAATTAGACAATTTATTTATTAGATTTAGGTAGAGGTTGAAAAAATAAAACATTTATTTGGTGGAAAGAAGAGCCGCCATGAAGAAATTTATGACATGATAATTTTGTAATGATGTTTAAGTTTATGGAGATTCTTGTATTGTATTAATGCGATATGATTTTTTTTCTTTTTAACCCTTGAATCTCTTTTATTTAAGACATTCTTGAATCCCCGTTTGCTTGCCGTATTTTTTGTATTAAGAGTGCTTTCAGGCACGAGTAATGACTAGTATTTTTATATAGTCCCTCAAACAGACAACACTCAAATTACTAATGATTTTTTATCATAAATTTGTTACGTAATACCTAAATATGGACAAAAAATAATTTGGATACCTCTTAAACAAAATTCGGATAGCTCTTGACAAAAAAAATGTGTAATATGGGTAGCTTTTGACCAAAATTTGGATAATTTATAATTAAAACTGTGTAATTTGGATATCTATTTAATCAAAATTTGAGTAAAAATTTGGTCAAGAGTTATTCCAATTTTTTTTTGTTCATATTTATATATTAAGTGACAAGTTTATGATATAAAAAATCATTAGCAATCTTGACATTGTTTACTTGAGCGATCATATAAAAAGATTTTAAATATTGCGGACTAAAATGAGATAAATTCCATACTTTTAAAGACTTTCAATGTAATTAATCCAAAAATTAAGGGTGCGTTTGATAATGTTTTCATTTTTATGTTTTTTTTTATAAAAAAAAACAACAAAGTTTTGTTTATTTTTTTATGATAAAAATTAAAAATAGAGTAATGCTATTGAGACTTAAAAATCTGACATAATTTGCTGACATAATAATGTGGCTTCATTGGAACCATTTTATTAATATCAAGTTCTAATGTTTGATGGAGCCCGCAGTCAATCCAAAGATCATAGTGAAACCACATCATTATGTCAGATTTTTAGGTCCCAATAACAATACATATAGAGCATGTTTTGTAGTCATTTATATTTAAAAAATTGTAAAAACAAAAATTAAAAACTTGTTTAGTATTATACCAAATATTCACCACCCAACCCCCCACCAACTAAGGGCACTGACTACCCAAAACCACCACCCAACCCCCACTCCACCCCACCATTGAAACCCACCCCCAACCTCACCATCGAAACCCACAACCCACTCCCACCATTGAAAACCACCACCACAACCACCTCACTGACCACCCAACCCCACCACTGAAACCCAAAATCCACCCCCACCACTAAAAACCACCACCACAATCACTGAAACCCACACCCCACCACCATCGAAACCCCACTAGTGAAACCTATCACCACAACCACTGAAATCCACCACAACAACCATCAAAACCCAACCCCAGTCCAACCACCGAAACCCACCCAGACCACCCCAAAAACCACAACCATCTAAACCCACCTTCAATCCAACCCCCCACCATAAAAAAACTCACAACCCACCCCCAACCACCACAACCCAAACTTATAGATCTACGTATATACTATGTATTGATGGAGATGGAGTGCTGGCTTGAGATATGAGAGCTCCTTTGTTGCCCATGGAGATGGAGATTGAAATGGAGACACTAGTTCACCGAAATTGGAGACGTCTGTGACTGTGGAGTTGGAGACATATGAGCAAATGAGATAAATGTATTTTAGATGCATTTTTCGTGGCTTTTTATATGGTAAGGAAAAGACTATGCAATTTTGTTTTGGAGAAGACTCGAAGTCCAGACCTCATTAAATAGGGAATAAGAGTTGTCGCATGGGTTTTTTTGATGTTTTCAAAAACATCATTTTAGATGTTTTCATATTTTGTCATTATTTTCAAAACAGAGCTGTAAAAAAAAACGAAAACATTCACCAATCATATTTTTATTTATTTTTTTTGTCATAAAATGAAAATAAAAACAAAAACAAAAACAAAAACAAAAACTAGTGGTTACCAAACACTACCTAAATAAACAAAGAGGGGTGTGAGAGCAAATGGCCCAAATTTTTTTTGGAAAAACAAGTGGAATTGACACCAAGAAAAAGAAAACAATTTTAGAAAATTGTACAGACTGTTGACCGTCAGTATCCATTAATTATCTGACCCAAAAAAAAAAAAGGTATCCATTAATTACAAACATGTCCAATTATGTGCAAATTATTAGTTAACTCCAACATGAACTCGTTTAATCAATTGGGTCAGACTTTTAATATTAGCCATACTTATTTATTATGATATCGTGTTTGAATTCACCGATATAATACTTAATTAAACATCTAACATTAAGATCTTATTACTTCCCAACCAAATTTAACATTCATAATTTTTTCATAGACTAAAATCTATTTAAGTGTATATAATAGGAAAAAACAAGAAAAAAAAAAAAATCCATCACCTACAATAGTTCATGTCAATAAGTGAATAAGATGATAAAATAAAAATATTCATTTCACTTCATTATAACAGGTAAACTTATTTATCGTTTCAAATTCAGGTTATTCGTCTCTGATATTAACTTAACTCATTTATTATGAGCGTTTGTAGAATCAAGTTCTTGTCGAGAATTAATCAATTATAATCTGTTAATTTCAAATTGGTTTCAAATCGTGTTATCGTATTGTATCTAAAATTAACGTGTTACCGCTAAAAAAATCAAAGGACGTCACGGTTAGCACTTTACCATTGAAATACTATTCTACATAAGCACAATTACACAATCAAAACCCCAATATGTTACCATGCAAGTAAAGACTAGTCACAAACAGAATTGCATAATTTACCCTGCTAGACGAAAACTTTGAAATCTTTATGAATTTTCACATAATAGTACATGATGGGTCGGGCTCATTCCTAGGGACGATTTGGACAAAAGCAATTCTTTCACAGACGGGGCAGTTTTGGGGTGTATGGATCATGAGCTGGGCCTTTTGTTCGGGCTTGTTTCCTTCAGGTTTCTTCTCTTCGGGCTTCTTTGGTGGGTCATGGTTCGGTGGTGGCGGAGGAGGCCCAATACTCACAACTTCAGAAAATTTTCCAGTTTTCCTTGCACGGACTATTATTTCATAAGGGTCTGCGTCACCCGTTACTGTCAAAGTTCCCTTGGCACCATCGATTTCGATCTTATCTACACCTGCGTTAAAAACAAAGAATAAAATACCATTATAAACTTAGATGAAAACGATCTAACGTATAAATTTTGTCGAGCTTAATTTGAAAAGTTGGACTTATCATAACACTTGGATACTAATTATACCAATGAAATTAAAAATGTGTTCAGAATTGATCGTTTACCATACGAGCAGATTCTGAACTATTTTGAGAATAACTTATACGATTCCCTTTTACAATAGTGATAGAATGGTGCGATTGTATGGTGTGTGCTTGCCACTCACGCGCTCAAGAGAATGGCCAAGTCTTCAAATGGGATTTATTGGTGAGAGTAATGAATTTGATTAACAAATTTAGTTGTAAGGCTCTTACTCAAATTAGAAAAAGAAGAAAAAGTAAGAAAGGAAAAGAAAATGTGCATCCAATCAAATCTAGTTGGGTTCAGTTTGTACATATCTTTTTTGGTTTTTATTCTTAAAAGAAAATAATGTTTTCCCTTCTCCCCAAGCTTTATGCCTTCTTAGAAACAATAGCCTGGAAAATTAAAGACATTAAAAACTACTCCAAAACTTTTGAATTTGACTTTTTTTTTGTCCGTCTAAAATTTGTAACAGTCCAACCTATTGGGTTGCAGCATCAATGATTACCCAATCTCCTTTTGGCAAATTGGGTTACTTGTCCCGACGATCCAATTAAGGACTATTTTGACTACTAATTATTATTTGAATCATGAAGATTACTCTAAATATACAATCCAGTTTAAAAAGAAATGATGTCCCAATAACATTTGAAATGCAGGAAAGAAAACTACAACCGGCAATGTTTTTGGTTTTTTGCTTCAGAAAGCAAACAGTAACCCAAGAACACTTATTAATATACTGTACATACTGCATACCTTTCAGCCCAGACACTGATTTGAGGAGTTTCTTTTTGCATTTTTGGCAGGAAATATCTACCTTCAACACAGTCCTTTGTACCATGGAAGAACTCTCTCTCTCTCTCTCTCTCACACACACACACACAATCTATGTCCAAAATGGCCTAGTAAATCATTATCACAGCGTTTATTAGGATAGAAAGAACCGGCATAACAGATCTTTGGGTTGTTCACCCTCCTCTGCAGATTCACTGGACTTTGCTGTTGTCTTCTTTCATATAAACAAATTAGGTTATTATTTTAATCACAACCAGCTTCCAATATTCAACACAGTTCTATGGTGACATAAGAGCGTCTCCAACAGATGCTTCAAATGTCCAAAATAAACAAATTTTAGCTAAACCAAAGTCCAAAACAGCACTCCAACAGATTATGTTCATATGTTGTAAAATAGATTTTTGCGACAGTGATGCTTAGAGCATCACTGTAGCAATATGTAAACATAATATATATTATTTTCTCTCTATTCCTCTCATTTTTTTCATTCTCTCTTTTTCTCCCTTTCACTATTCTCAAAAAATTTAATACAAAAGGGATGATAAATAATATTTAAAAGGAGTAGTTAAAAATATAGAGAATCTGTTGACGTATGTTTTGAAAAAGTGAGTAACTAAAATAAAAAAAATTGCTTTTTGGGTAACTAAAATAACTACTATTGTTGAAGATGCTATCAGGTTATTGTTTTTTGGGTAACTAAAATAACTACTATATATATATATATGTGTGTGTGTGTGTGTGTGTATTTGTTGCTGCATCCAATACTCCCAGAAAGCACCAGATGGTGCAATCACTATCCCAACTACCCAAAGGCAATGGAAGTTACATCAACTAGGCAGATAAACCACTCTAGAAATGATAAATTATAACATAACTGATTTTTTTTTTTTTTTTTTGGTGGTTAGTTATGTGGTGTGGTTCATTGTTCAAGTGTGATTCTAATTTATGTAACAGTAATGGCTGCCAAACATTATGCTGAACTAAGGCTCAGTAAATCAAGAAAATATTCATTGCAACGACATCAACATTATCACGTAATATCATTAATCAATAATATGTAAATAAATAAGTAAATGAACCTCACACAAATTAATAACTCATTGTCCATTGAAAGCCCAATAATTACTTGATCTTTTTTCATGTAAATTAATAACTATCCAAGTAAACTTTACTTGCCTATTTGATATTTTATTATTAATTAATGATACCTAGAGCCGGCCCAATAGTATGTTTAAAAAAGTCTGAGCTTCAGGGCCCATTTCAAATGAAGGCCTCAAATTTTAAAGCACCATAAACAACCCACGTAAAAAAAAACCTTATAAAAATATAAGCCCCATCAACCAATTAGGTCCATAATCCAATTCAAATATTAAATATCTAAAAAAAATTAACAGTATTAAAAAAAAAAGGCTGAACTGAAAGGTCATATAAAATTAAAAAAAATCAAAAAGGGAAATCATACCTTACTTTTAACTATTTCTTTCTCTCTCTCTCGGTAAACCAACCAACACAAACAATTTTTCTTTTTCTTTCTCTCTCTCGTTAAATTGAAACAAAAAATCTCTTCTTCTTCTCTCTTTCTCTTCTCTCTCTCTCTCTCTCTCAAGTCTCAACTTATAAATCACTCAAGGTAACATACAATGGTGAGATGCCAAGTCGGTGACTCAGCCTCCACTCCATCCTCTATCTTCAACTTGAGTTTTCATTGTAACATAAGGGACATGTTTTAGAACCACAATGCCAATATTTGAGATAAACCCCGCCCAACAACATGTTTAAAAAAGTCTGAATTTTAGGCCCATTTCAAAGGAAAACCCAAAATTTTTAAACACTGTAAATAACCTATATAAAAAAGGTCTTATAAAAATATAAGCCCAATCAACTATTTAGGCCCATAATCCAATTCAAATATTAAATATCTAAAAAAAATTAACAGTATAAAAAAAAAAGGCTGAACTGAAAGGTCATATCAAAGTAAAAAAAAAAATCAAAAAGTGAAATTATACCTTACTTTGATCTCTCTCTCGGTAAACCAACCAACACAAAAACAGTTCTTTTTTTTTTCTTTCTATCATTAGACTGAAACAAAAAAAAACTCTTCTTCTTCTTCTTCTTCTCTCTCTCTCTCTCTCTCTCTCTCTCAGTGCTCTCAAGTTTCAACTCACAGATCACTCACGATAACATACAACTGTGAGACTCCAAGACGGTGATTCGGCCTCCACTCCATCCTCCATCATCAATTCGAATTTTCATTGCAATATAAGGGACATGGTTTAGAACCAAAAAATCAACATTTGAGATCATTCAAACCAGGTTCTATTGTTTCCTAATTTTAAATTTTTTTGTTATATATTTTAACTATATTATATATTGTGTTTGTTTGGTTGTTATATAGTTATAATATATTAATAAAATGACACCTAAAAGACAACTAAGTGGATATGAATAATAATAATAATAATAAAAAAAATAGATCAACTAATAAAATCTCAAAAAAGATCTCTTGATAAATTTGTTACTAGTAACAAAAATAATGTAACAAAAAATTTAGATGAAAATTTTGAAAATGAACAAGTAGATAATTAAATAGAAGATAATAAAATAAAAAATATTGAAATAGAAAATATTGAAATAAAAGATTAAAATTAACTTAGAAAAATTAGATTGAAAGGTTAACTTAGAATGATTAAAAAATTAGATTAAAAGATTAAAATTAACTTAGAAAAAATATTGAAATAAAAGATTAAAAGGTTTTTTTATTTAACTTAGAAAAATTAAAATCATTGGCTAATGATAGTTTAAAACAATATTGTTTGGATCTCGAATGTTTCTTAAAATACGAAATTTTTTCTGATATTGATGACTTAAATTTATTTTTAGAACTAAATGTTTTAAAAGAAATTTTAGAAATAAAAAAAAATATTCCAATTGAGATACTAAATTATATAAAAAAGTTAGATTCTTTTCCAAATGCATACATTGTTTATAGAATATTATTTACAATTTCTGTAACAGTTGCTGCTGTGGAAAGAAGCTTTTCAAAATTAAAATTGATAAAATCTTACTTAAGATCAACTATGTCACAAGAAAGATTTAACTATATTATCAATTGAAAAACATAGAATGCCTCATTTAGAAGTATCGTTTTAGACCCCAAATTATTTTGAACCACTCCTGATGATACCATATAATAATACTGACAAAGTAGCACTATTACATTGAATATGTCCTCCAGCAAATGGCATGTGATCTACGGACTGGCCCATTAGCCCAACATCGATTGGCCGCCCCACACACACGTAGCATTGTGTGGGTAAATCCCAATAGCCAACCAAGCAGTTGTGTTTTGGTCCATTACGACCAATAGGCTAGCCCAACTCACAAGTGGGCTGTTAAATAGGCCCATCTTTTCCAATAAATGTTTAAAAATGAAAAAATTGTGAAAAGGTACACCTTGTTATACTTATTTGTGTAAAAGTACCTCAATATAAAATATTTGTGTATAAATACCTTTATGTATAAATATTTGGTGAAGAGGTACACTTTGCTGAGTTGTAATTTTTTCTCTTACGAAATTGTCTTTTTCCTTTATTAGTGGGAGACAAATATGACAGTTATATTAGGGATTTAGTTTCCTAAATTTATAGAATATCATTTCTGAATTTTAAATTATATTTTTCTCTTTCATTCAACTTAAATTATTCAAACTTTTCATTTTTATTCAAAAATTCATGTCTTTTCCATATTTATATAATTTATTTATTTTTTATAAATCGTAATAATCAAGATGATGATTCTGATTTGGAAGATGATTTACTGCCTTGCACGATAATGTCACAGTGCTACAAGACAATGTCACCTTGGTACTAGAAAATGTCATACTGTTACAAATCACATTCACACTGGTACAATGTCGTCCATATGTTTTTTTTTTTAAAAATCGTTATGATCTCTTAATGTCAATCACGTTCATGTGAGGATAAAAGTCAATGATGATGACTCAAATGGGGATGATCGTAATAATCAAGATGATAATTCTGATTCGGAAGATGATTTGCTGTTTCTCACGATAATGTTACAGTACTATAAGACAATATTACAGTGGTATTAAAAAATGCCACATTGTTACAAACCAAATTTACACTGCTAGAAATCAATGTCACATTATTGCAAGTCAATGTCACACTGCATATATTGACATGACGCATATCACAATGTATATACCCTGTTTGGTTTTTTTTTTTTGGCAAATGATCGAACACTTGGTGTGCATGTAGTACCAAGCACTAGAAGTAGAAAGATAATTGAGGAAAAAAAAGTAAATAAAATAAAAACGTTGGGAGAAACAACATTTTTCTTGAGTTATCAACTTTTTTTTAAAAAAATTCAACCACTCCCATCCTTATGCTACAACCACTTCCATTCAAACCCTTATCTAAATTGTTCTCACTCAGATAGACTTTTTATTGAAACCACTTTTTCCTTTAATGTAACCAAGAGATGTTAATGAATCGGATTTCAATCCATATCTAAGATCGTGTGATTGAGTTGGTTCTTCTTTACTAAAAAAATTTATAACTACTCTCATCCTTCTGCTACAAAAGTGAAGATTTGGATAGTGAAGTTTTGAAAAGATCCTTTCTTCAACAATGATTAACAGAAAGTTTTGAACATCCAAAAGGAAGTTTTATGGAAGTTTTTAAAAGAATGAGATTTTCGACGATATTGAAGAAATTTATGTGTAATTGTTGGGATCCCTTAAGTTTCGGTTGTGGAAGCAAAAATATAGGAATCGGTTTCCATTCTACTGAAGAGGGTATTTTTAAAAATTTGTTAGGGGTTTTGTACTTTTTGACCTATATTTTTAAAAATAATATTTTTTGCACTATAATTTCTAAAAAAGGTACCGGCCTCCTTAAAACCTTTAAAAAATTGGCCCAATAACCTGCTTGTCCACTGTCGAGCCTTCCTAAGGTAATAAAATGACAAGTCGGATGACCCAACCTTCCGTCTAATGAAGGTCAGTAGTTGTATATAGTCTAAATT